AGGTTTCCGAAGGGTGGGGACTCTTTGAGGCCACTAATGCTCCCTCAATGTGCAATATGCAGTCAAAACAGTATTACATCATGAAAGTGTGGACAACAAGGGCTTATGGTGCCATTTGGGACAGGGTCATTATATAAGGAGATACCAACCTCCATGGTTCTGCTATTGTGAAAGCGGTCGACTTTAAATGTATGCCCTGCAAACAAATCACATTGTAGCCTTTTTTTATTATTAAACTTTATTGAACAATTTTAATTTACAAACTCAAGCCTTGGGAACAGTAACTTGCATATGAAAATATAACAAATATACACATAGTTTCAGTATATCTCCAGTCCTATATAGTAGCCTACGTGCAATTCTTACTCAGACTAACAAGTAGCAAAATCAGCCTTACATAACCCAGGGTTATTCAATTAAAGCTCCAAGAGGTCCGGCCTCTGTATTTCCTTCCCAGTGTAGGTCTGGACAATACTTTTCATGGCAGCCAGCATAGTACATTTTAAAAGAACAAATCCTAAAGTTTCACAATAGTCATCAAAGATAAGAATCTTGGGCCCCGAGATCTGAAGCAGTGATGTCTAGGAATTCATTTTTTTAACCAATATTAAAAAAAAAAAAGTCAATATTTCTCTCAATATGAATATAAAAAGGTTAGGTTTTATCAGGCCTTTTTATTTTATTTTACATTTAGACATCTACCTGTATGACACATATAAGGAGTTAGAAAAACTGAGAAAACATACTGGGGGAGGGTTTACCTCTTAAAGGGGACATATCATGAAAATCTGACTTTTTCCATGTTTAAAGGCCCACTGAAGTTCCTTCGAATGCTCAGCTTTGTATGATGCATTGACGTGATTTCCATTGAAACAGGAAGCTAAGGCAGGACATATTGAATGGCTCCTCCCCCTTTTCAAATAGCCAATAGCGTTTAGTTTTAGATTGAGCATTTGATTGGACAGAAAATGTGATGAGAAGCTGAAGTCCGCGGCGATGTCATACAAATACGTGATCAATTTTAGCGGAAGTGAGAGACTAAGTTTTGAATGCTTAAATCCTCTAAATGCGAATTTTGTCATTGTTTTGGAACACACCAGCTTATTCATAACTTTTGGGCTAACATATTCATACTAAGAGCTAAAAAACATACATTGATTTCACATTTTGTTGATATCAGGGGTTCATGAAGTGCTATAATTGGGTCCCCGGTGCATCTACCAACCCAGAAAACGTGAAAAGTGACAACCCTGTAACTTTGTTTTTTTGATAAGCCTTTCTCTGCAAGCATGTCAAAAAAAATAAGCCGATCAGATTTCGCTCCCCTTTTGACGTAGGAAGGGGATCTTGTTATAATATTACCTCCCCTTAATCTGCACGTTTCCACCCAAGCGACAACAGTGTAACCAGTTCTAACACAAGGGCAAAAGTTCGAGCAAACCATGCAAACTGTTCTGTCGTTGCTGCACAGACGAATACAGAACACCATTTAGAGTCCCAGTCTCAGATGAGACAAGAGAGCAGTGGATTAATTTTATTTGGGGGGGTTGCTAATACTCATTTTAGAAAAAGTATCTATTTTGGTGCTCTCTACGGTGGCCGAGACAGCTCAACGCGCTGCAACTGAAGCAAACACATACAAATAGAGAAAAACGCGTGCAAATAGAAAAAAACGCATGCAAATAGAAAAACACGCGTGCAAATAGAAAAAAACACCTGCAAATTAAAAAAAACATCTTCATCAGTTTCACAACACACGTGTGCTCCAAATAAGGAAACGCGCTGCAAAAGTTCACAACACAACCAAATACAGAAAACACGCTGCAAATAACACAGACCACAACGGAAATGTTTCCAGGGGAACCAAATAAGTGACGGACCCGGCCGAGACGTGCTTATTGCTCGTGAGCTTCCCTATGCCATACTCCCTTCGAAGGGCAGATTGCAGAGCCCTTTTGGAGTGAGCAAGGCTCTAGTGTGCTGTTAGGCAGCCGTGTGGAGCGCACTTGATGAAGGGAGCAACTAAAGACAACGTGGGATGTTCCCATGACAACGCAGCACGGTGTCCATCAGCTGGTCTTACGACAGAAATATGATGCTGTTAACATAACGGATGCAAATACATTTTTATTTTTAGTTTACAAAAAAAGCTTTTAAAATATGCGTTATATATCTGTGTCTCAACTTTAAAATGTTGGACCCTACATTACCTAACATTTCTTACGAAACTTTTCTTTATGAAAATGTAATAACATGAAACAATTTGTACAGTGTAACTGATGTATAGATAAATATCTTTCCTTCATGATTTTCTTCTTTATCTTTTTTATTTATTTATTTTAGTTTCCAGCTCATTGTTCTTTTCTCATTTGTATTCTGATGACATTGAACAAATTGTTAATACATTTTGTACATTGTATACAAGTTGTATGTCATAAAAAATGTAATTTCTGTATGTTTTGCACAAACAAATAAATAAACAAACAAATAAATAAAGTATAATGTTAAGCTGTAAGCACCATCACGCATAGATTTATGGATATCTATGCCAGCACGTCCCAGCCGGGTTCGTCACTTATTTGGTTCCCCTGGAAACATTTCCGTTGTGCTCTGTGTTATTTGCAGCGCGTTTATGTATTTGGTGGTGTTGTGAGTATTTGGAGCACACGTGTGTTGTGAAACGGATGAAGATGTTTTCTTAATTTGCAGGTGTTTTTTTTTATTTGCACGCGTTTTTTTCTATTTGCATGCGTTTTTTTCTATTTGCATGCGTTTTATTTTATTTGCATGTGTTTTGTTTTATTTGCACGTGTTGTTTTCTATTTGCATGCGTTTTCTTCAGTTGCAGCGCGTTGAGCTCTCTCGGCCACCGTAGCTCTCCGTGTTTCTGCTACTGTTATAAAAATAACCGTGCCATCTGCAGGCAGCTCGTGTGGCACTTTACGTCTTTGCGAGAGCGAGAGAAGCACGCGCACGGAGCAGAAAGGGCTTGAAGCGTATTTAGCTCAAGAGAAAAATATATCAGAGGATGTAGCACCAAAATATCATTACAGTAAACAACACTGACCACTTATGGTGTGAACCACTCTGTTGTTTTGACGCGCTGCTCACTTTAAACTGTAGAAACGGTAAAACTGTCCCGCGGTCCGGATGAAACCAAGCGGTCAGCCATTTTAATACCACTAATAAACAATAGAAATATTGAAATAAGGGGGTTGAAATAAGACAAGCTTTAAAAATTAATAGCATGCACTATATCTTAAAGATGGTCATCAGCCCCTTGACAGTTTGCTGAGGCCCCCTAGTGGGTTAAAAACCACTTAAAAGGAAAGAGACTTTGACATTACTTCATACACATTGTTAAGAGATTGATCACAGTTACAATGTCATTGAATTGCTTTAAGACTTGTTTTACGACCATAGGAATAAATGAGTAGTGCTGTAAACCGAATACTATACCTGTCACAAAGTCATCCGCAACTTCTTTTTATAAAAACACTTCTTTTTGTGGTAAGCTCCATATATGCGTTATGTACTCCATATTCATACTCCGCTACATAATGCCTTTTTTGCCCTCAAGGTTCCCCCTGGGGGAGGGGCTCTAATGCCAAACTCACTACTGTGTTATTTTTGACAGCAAAAACAATGCTGTAAATGGCAATATTGTGTCTAAGAACTTCAGTATTAACATCTTTTGTATACTATTGTATTACAAAATATCAAATTTGTGTTGTTGGTCTGAATTTCACTTCATGCAAGAATGCAGTCTAAATGTACTTCTGTAAAAGTGAAAAGTGTTTGTAGTTGCCAGTCACAGATATCCCTGAAAACGAAGAAAAAGAGTCCAGAAGAGCTTAAGCATGTGTTGGCCTGCTTGATATGCCTAACTGTCAAGACAGAAACGAGCTCTGCTGCACTTAGCCACAGAAAATAATGTGGTAGGCCCAATAACACCACTACAGAACATAACTTAAACTAACTAGAAAAAACCCTCATGTGATGAAGAAAAGCAAGCAATAAGAATAAGTGTTAGAACTCATGGATGAGTCAGAGTGTAATCAGTTCTGAGAAAATTCTCATACATAACATAACTATATGCTTTTTGAGGCCTCCATTTTAGGAAGCACATTTTGACTATTTCAAAATAGTCTAACAGCAACCTCTGCTGGTCATTTACATACAATGTATGTGTACATTCACATACAGTACAAAGTACAACATAAATTATGAAATATCTATCCTCCCTCCTGCAGCCACATCTCTTGTCTTCTCTGATGATGTGTTTACTGAAACAAGGGCCGGACAACCTGTCACTCACATGACATCACAGCAATAGTATACCACGATCATCCAATGATCCACTCAATTCAATGGAGAAAAAATAATTCCCGCCCTACATTTCTTGTTTAAGAAGCCGTTTCACTTGACATAATAGGGAAGAAAAGACAATTGCAACTTAAATTTTATGCCGACTTGAATCACTTTCCAAAGGCTCAATCATCTTTAAGCCTTATTATGCAAATGATTTAATGACACAGCTTGTGTCCAGCTATTTACAAACACCAAGATTACAATAAAAAGACACAAATGGAAGTGAAATTAAATTAAGTAGCGGCAGATCTTTTCTTCCGTATTGTGATGTACATCAGAGTGAAACAGATTATCGGATAAGAACTTTTTTTTAGTGCTGGGCTTGATTCGATCCATTGGTTCTTGACTGGATTTTGAGTTGTGTACGTTGCACACAAAAGGTAGTTGAACGGAAGCTTGTAGGGCAGGGGTTTAAACTGACTAAATGATTGAAGAAGTCCTGCAGAAGTCACTACAGAGAAGTCTGTCTTTTCACCAGAAGATAAAATGTTACAAGGTCAAAATAAAAATTAAATAAAAAATGCACATATGCACAGAATAATTGTTCACAATAAATTTAAAGCATTCATTTAGAAAATCAATAGGATTTTTTTTTTTTTTTTTTTGTCATGCAGACTTAAACTTGTGGTGGTCCTTTCAGTATTTCCCTTAATGGTGTTTCCTGGCATGTTTTTCTGCCTCAATAACATCATGTGTATTTTTTGTAACCTGGCAAAAAAAGACAATAAAGGAGTCAGTTCACATATCTATCTATCTATACAATATTTTCCTCCTCTGAGCTCTCAAACCTTTCGGAGTTCTAAATCTTATCAATTTTTAATTATATTTGTTAACTTAATTTACAAACATACGTGTAGAAGTTGTCACTAGAGTGTACACTCACCGGCCACTTTATTAGGTACACCTGTCCAACTGCTCGTTAACACTTAATTTCTAAGCAGCCAATCACATGGCGGCAACTCAGTGCATTTAGGCATGTAGACATGGTCAAGACAATCTCCTGCAGTTCAAACCGAGCATCAGTATGGGGAAGAAAGGTGATTTGAGTGACTTTGAACGTGGCATGATTGTTGGTGCCAGAAGGGCTGGTCTGAGTATTTCAGAAACTGCTAATCTACTGGGATTTTCACGCACAACCATCTCTAGGGTTTACAGAGAATGGTCCGAAAAAGAAAAAACATCCAGTGAGCGGCAGTTCTGTGGGCGGAAATGCCTTGTTGATGCCAGAGGTCAGAGGAGAATGGCCAGACTGGTTCGAGCTGATAGAAGGGCAACAGTGACTGAAATAACCACTCGTTACAACCGAGGTATGCAGCAAAGCATTTGTGAAGCCACAACACGCACAACCTTGAGGCGGATGGGCTACAACAGCAGAAGACTCCACCGGGTACCACTCATCTCCACTACAAATAGGAAAAAGAGGCTACAATTTGCAAGAGCTCACCAAAATTGAACAGTTGAAGACTGGAAAAATGTTGCCTGGTCTGATGAGTCTCGATTTCTGTTGAGACATTCAGATGTTAGAGTCAGAATTTGGCGTAAACAGAATGAGAACATGGATCCATCATGCCTTGTTACCACTGTGCAGGCTGGTGGTGGTGGTGTAATGGTGTGGGGGATGTTTTCTTGGCACACTTTAGGCACCTTAGTGCCAATTGGGCATCGTTTAAATGCCACGGCCTACCTGAGCATTGTTTCTGACCATGTCCATCCCTTTATGGCCACCATGTACCCATCCTCTGATGGCTACTTCCACCATGTCACAAAGCTCTAATCATTTCAAATTGGTTTCTTGAACATGACAATGAGTTCACTGTACTAAAATGGCCTCCACAGTCACCAGATCTCAACCCAAAAGAGCATCTTTGGGATGTGGTGGAACGGGAGATTCGCATCATGGATGTGCAGCCTACAAATCTGCGGCAACTGTGTGATGCCATCATGTCAATATGGACCAAACTCCCTGAGGAATGCTTCCAGCACCTTGTTGAATCTATGCCACGAAGAATTGAGGCAGTTCTGAAGGCAAAAGGGGGTCCAACCCGTTACTAGCATGGGGTACCTAATAAAGTGGCCGGTGAGTGTATATTGCCAGCTAGATCTAAATCTCTAGCGTCACAATTGCACTATTATCCCAATGAATCACCTCTGGATTTAATAAGAGTAACTTTACCTCATTATTGATTTCGTCGATAGTTTGGATCTGTTTGCTGATCTTGTCGCCTATTCCCAGTGCCATGCTCTTCATAATCAAAATGTTGCTGCCCACAATCTTCAGATTCTCTTCCATCTCATCTTCTCGTTCATCATTTGTTATTCTTACAGAACAAAAACCACTTGAATTTCCAAGCTAAGACCATTACACATCTATTAGATAAACGTGTCTAAATATAAATTTAGAGCTTGTGCCATATGGCAATGCATAACACAAATCTCACCTATTGATGTAAGGGCCAGAGGGGGCTTCTGTCCCATTGCGGATGGCACTCTTTTGGCTGGAGACCACATTCCGCTTGCTTTCTTTTGGTTCCTTGCCCTGCTTATATCTCCTGTCACTCTTGGAGGACTTCACTCTGAAAGAAGAGCCATTCAGATCCAAAGAAATAGATCAAATACAAGAACTGAGGTGAAAACCACAAACTAAAAGTGCCAATTTAGTTTATAATTATATCTGCTGAAAAGGTAAGCTTAGACCAGGATAGTGTTGGTTTAATGCTGATCTAGGTAGTGGAGCAGTATAGGCTATTCACCAACAAAATGTAGTTGATTAAGCAGTTGGATTTCCTGGTTGACGGTTAAGCTAGTTAAGAAACTGGCGGGGATATCAGTAGACCAGAATCTCACTTTGGGGACTAGCATCAAAAACACAACATTTGTTGTTCTTTTCAGCATCCTACATCAAGTCCTCTGTTTCTGAATAATACACTTGAAGAAAGAAGTAGCCAAGTTTTTGAATTTCGAAAAAAAGTTTTTGTAGAGCTTGACACAGCTAGAATGTATTTAATGTATAAATGTATTTAAAATGTAATTATAAAAAAGCCCATTGAGTTATAAGACTTGATTAATTTACATGACTTTTCCAGTTCTAGAAATCACACTTCACAAAAGGGTACACTATGTAACTTTTTTTGTTCAAAATTTATATAATGAGCAAGTACATCATGAAGCCATCTTCCAAACCGTGTTTTTGTCTTATGAATAACTACGGTACGCCTATAATAAGTGTTTATATTCAGACTCTTTTAGAGTAGCCTAGTGGAGCCTATACTGCTCCCCTACCTAGTACCGGTGTCATATACACTCACCGGCCACTTTATTAGGTACACCTGTCCAACTGCTCGTTAACACTTAATTTCTAAGCAGCCAATCACATGGCGGCAACTCAGTGCATTTAGGCATGTAGACATGGTCAAGACAATCTCCTGCAGTTCAAACCGAGCATCAGTATGGGGAAGAAAGTTGATTTGAGTGACTTTGAACGTGGCATGATTGTTGGTGCCAGAAGGGCTGGTCTGAGTATTTCAGAAACTGCTAATCTACTGGGATTTTCACGCACAACCATCTCTAGGGTTTACAGAGAATGGTCCGAAAAAGAAAAAACATCCAGTGAGCGGCAGTTCTGTGGGCGGAAATGCCTTGTTGATGCCAGAGGTCAGAGGAGAATGGCCAGACTGGTTCGAGCTGATAGAAGGGCAACAGTGACTGAAATAACCACTCGTTACAACCGAGGTATGCAGCAAAGCATTTGTGAAGCCACAACACGCACAACCTTGAGGCGGATGGGCTACAACAGCAGAAGACTCCACCGGGTACCACTCATCTCCACTACAAATAGGAAAAAGAGGCTACAATTTGCAAGAGCTCACCAAAATTGAACAGTTGAAGACTGGAAAAATGTTGCCTGGTCTGATGAGTCTCGATTTCTGTTGAGACATTCAGATGTTAGAGTCAGAATTTGGCGTAAACAGAATGAGAACATGGAACCATCATGCCTTGTTACCACTGTGCAGGCTGGTGGTGGTGGTGTAATGGTGTGGGGGATGTTTTCCTGGCACACTTTAGGCCCCTTAGTGCCAATTGGGCATCGTTTAAATGCCACGGCCTACCTGAGCATTGTTTCTGACCATGTCCATCCCTTTATGGCCACCATGTACCCATCCTCTGATGGCTACTTCCACCATGTCACAAAGCTCTAATCATTTCAAATTGGTTTCTTGAACATGACAATGAGTTCACTGTACTAAAATGGCCTCCACAGTCACCAGATCTCAACCCAATTGAGCATCTTTGGGATGTGGTGGAACGGGAGATTCGCATCATGGATGTGCAGCCGACCAATCTGCGGCAACTGTGTGATGCCATCATGTCAATATGGACCAAACTCCCTGAGGAATGCTTCCAGCACCTTGTTGAATCTATGCCACGAAGAATTGAGGCAGTTCTGAAGGCAAAAGGGGGTCCAACCCGTTACTAGCATGGGGTACCTAATAAAGTGGCCGGTGAGTGTACATAAACAGAGAGAAGTAGCTCCGGCTACGATGTTCTTCCACAAGACGCATGCAATTTTGTTTATTAACTCTTATGCCTCGTTTCCACTGAGCGGTACGGTACGGTACAGTTCGGTTCGGTACGCAATTATTTGCGTTTCCACTGTCAAAAGTTGTGAATGGTACCAAAAAGCCGAACCGTACCGTACCACTTTTTGGGTACCCTTCCGTTGTGGTACCTAGCACAGTGGTACGGTACTAAAAGGTGGAGCTAGACTCACTGCAGAACGGTGATTGGTTGACAGAGTATCGTCACTTGCGCGTGCTACAAGGGCATTAGAAGCATACAGTTAAAATATAATACTACTGTTATTGTGTCACGAAATGTAGTTTTAAGAGTTTTTCAGGCGAGAAAGTAGTTTTTTAAAGCTCAAATCTGTGGTTTATTTATAGATTTATGATAATTTGAAGATCCATTCCAAGCAATCACCGGGCGCTCGGCGCTCGTGCACCCCGCCTGGAGCAGCCTTTCCCCGGCTAGCCGTTCTGATGTTTGCCGCTGACTCTGACGTCTCTGTAGTGGTTAAACATGAGATATAATTCGCCTTGTACAGACCTAACAGGCGATCTTTGGTCTCGTGAATTTATAATTCGTTCCCTGGCCAATAGTTTTGGCAGAAGGCTAAGTGAAGTTTCATATATTTGAGCGCTGAATTTGTATATTTGACTGAATTGTTTGCTTTGTTATTAAAGCTTTACTGTACATATTTTTGTACCTTTTACTTATACTTTTATAATGGCTATTATTGATAAAACTGAAATTCAACAAAAATAGATAGTTTTGTCATTTATTTTATTTTATTACAAGATCATCTGTAATGTTGTTTATTGCAACATTTGTACCAATGCAATATGCATTACATTGCCTGGAATATGTTTAATATTTTTAAATTGAAACGAAAAGAGGCAGGATTGTGTTTTATATTTAGTTTTGTTATAAATATAACGTTACATGCAGTGAATATAATCAATATAGGCTATGCGTTGCCTGAACCACATTTGTGTGCTTATAATGTTTTAAATGTATTTAAATTAAATCGAAAAGAAGCAGAGTGGTGTTTTATAACATATTTCGTTTTATTGTTGCCTAAAATGTACATAACCGGAGTAGCAGAGCGAGCTGAGTGGCGCTTTCAAGAACGCGCTGTTCCATCAGCAGAATTACTGGACTCGCGTCCTCGGGATCATTCTCCTGAGTCGGACTTTGCGTGGCTACTTGGTATTGAGAAACGCCTAATGCCAGCGCTTGTTTCTTGTGACAAACATCCCGAGAAGCAAGAACAAGATCTGCTGTCTGTCATCCATTGTTGTTTACTATGTCGTTTTTGTTCGCGCGAAAATGACGTCGATCGCTTCTCTCCGGCAAACACCACGCCTATCAAGTGACGTTATCACTACTTTCCGGCATACACCACGCCTATCAAGTAGGGTACTGTTGGCAGTGGAAACGCGAGCCCCGATCATGGTTTAGCGACCCGACCCGAACCGTACCGTACTGAACCGTACCGTACCACTCAGTGGAAACGAGGCATTAGAGCTCCAAAAGTTACATAGTGTACCTTTAATTTATGCTTTTTTTAGTCTTAAAATCACTTAAAGTCATCTTAAGTCATCTTTAAGTCACCAGGGCCCGGCCCACTGATTAAGAATTCCAATATTATTCCACAGTGTCTTACTTTATTAATTGTGTTGTAGTCCGACAAGAAATGTAGTCTAACTAATTTAAATTTAAAACTCAATGTCACATAATAAGGTATACCCTCTAACCAACCTGTTCCATGGACACAGACACAGGCCGCAGCATTTGGACAGTTCATTCAGGTTTTTTCGAGCCTGTTTCATGTCCTGCTTGATCTGGCCGACTTCCTGTTTCACATTCCTTAGTTTTTCTGATATAGAGAGAAAGAGAATAAAGGTCTGGTAGTCACCAGTCTGTAGTCTATTATCAATAGTGATGCATGAAGCATGGCTCACACAGAGGTCACTTTTCAACCAATCAACTTTCTGTTGGTCAGCACAGAAAATGTGCATTATTAACCTGATAATGGGATTTTTTTTTTTTTTTTTTTTGCCTTCATACGGAAATCCCAATGACTGGATTTTGAAAGCGAAAATTTGCCAAGCAATGGCGAATGGGATTGCACCTTAAAGGCAGGGTAGGTGTTTTGTTCCAGAAACATTTTTTTTTTGTTCTGCTGGTTGAAAGTCTCTTCACACCCTAAATGCAATCAATAAGTTAAGTGGTCTTGATGTATTTATATGAAAATATATCATCTGTGAAAGCTGTAGGACAATAAAAAGTTAGTTAATTTGTTAAAGATTGAAACCCGTGACGTTGTACTTCGAGCGGTATGTGACTTGAATTTATGCGTTTAAATGGCAACACTATCAACGGCGAAATGAATCTGCAGCAGTCAGGTGGTAGCTCAGTGTTTACATTCATTATTATTGTAATGTTATGTACTTGGAGACATGCGCTAGTTTAACGCCGTCTCTCATGACGCTTTTGTTTGCTCCCTGCTGTACGCGTTCATGTGTTTTGAAGGAGGCGTGGCTTTGGAGACGCTCTGAAGGGAGGGTGGGATCGTATGCTTTCAAAGCTAGCTTGCTATTGCTAGCCTCTCAGAAAATTGCCTACCCTACCTTTAAAGGAACACTCCGACTTTTTGGGACTTTAGCCTGTTCACCTTATCCCCCAGAGTTAGATAAGTCCATACATACCTTTTTCATCTCCGTGCGTGCTGTAACTCTATCTGACGCACCCACCGCTAGCCTAGCTTAGCACAAAGACTGGATGTAAATGGTTGCAGCTAGCATACTAATCCAAATAAGTGGCAAAATAGCGCAAACATTTTCCTATTTACATGTTGTGATTTGTATAGTCACAGAGTGTACAAAAAACAAAGTCACATGAGACACAGACATATTTTAACCGTATAAATACTGGGAACTATATTCTCTGAAGGCGAAGCACTGCTACTTGGGCGGAGTGATAACCGCAGCACCTGAGACGCGCTCTCTGCTCCTCACCACGGCGCGTCTCAGGTGCTGCAGTTATCACTCCGCCCAAGTAGCAGTGCTTCGCCTTCAGAGAATATAGTCGCCTTCAGAGAATATAGTATTTATACGGTTAAAATATGTCTGTGTCTCATGTGACTGTTTTTTGTACACTCTGTGACTATACAAATCACAACATGTAAATAGAAAAATGTTTGCGTTATTTTGTCACTTATTTGGATTAGTATGCTAGCTGCAACCATTTACATCCAGTCTTTGTGCTAAGCTAGGCTAGCGGTGGGTGCGTCAAACAGATTTATAGCACGCACGGAGATGAAAAAGGTATGTATGGACTTTTCTAACTCTGGGGGATAAGGTGAATAGGCTAAAGTCCCAAAAAGTCGGAGTGTTCCTTTAAGAGGCATTTCATGGCTAATTACTATAAAGTATACTCTAAATGCCATCCATAAGAATATACAGAAATGATTTAATGTGTGAAAAGGCATCCAAGTTTTGAGATATTGAAGTAGACATCAGGAATCAGGTATATTGAGAAAACGGAATTACCTTCCTGCTCATCCAGCATAGTTATTGTTTTGTCGCCGACGTTCATAGTCTGCACAAATACACAATGAGCAAATAGCATTTTTACATTTCAAATAGCAGCATTATGTTATTTGGGACAAGCTTTTAAGGACAATCCATGTGTCATTGGTTTACTTGAAATAAGACAACTTACCTCCTCTGTCATTTGTAAAATTCGTCTACAGCTATCAGCTGACTGACAAACAAATACAAAGAAACTTAGTCAAACATTACTGTAGTATGATGATAAATCTATTATGCTAAACAAATTGTATTAATACTTCTGATAAACTGTGGTTGTTCTAAACAAGTGAGAACAAAAGAAAGACAGAAAGATGGGTCAAAGAAGGAATTTTATCTCTAGTGTAGAGAAATAGAATGCTGCTTTCATGCGAGCTGGGAATTTTACAGGAACAGAAACAAACATCTAAAGAACAAGAGGTTGTAAAAGAAGATAATGATATTTCATGATATCACAAACCTACCTCATCTGTTACACGGTTGGCTTTACTTGTGATCTCATCCACTGACATGTCTGCCATGCTGCTGGATTGGGATTCTGCTGGCACAAAAACTTTACATACACTTTGGGAAAAGTAGCCTATACAGTAAGTCAAAGTTAAGATGATACATTTGCTTATAAACAAGTATGTGACAATATTAAAAGAACAGAACAATTTTACATTTGTGCATTTTTGGGGGGAATTTTGCCCCACCTTGTTACACTTATGGGTGTTCCAAGTCAAAAATGACCGGCTTTCAAAAAAACTGCTAATAAAACTGTTGTTATGCTATATTATTGCCAAATATTGGATTCCAATCTTTTTATCAACTTGTTTTGTTTCAATTAGCTCAGGTTTTGTATATTTCGTTTTAGAAATGACTGATCGTAGGCATAAATGATCTGAGTTTATGCACCTCAGTTTAAGACCTTAAGAAAACTAAGGCACATAAGCTTAGATCAATTAGGATTTTCAACACAGCACAAGAAATAAGTCAAACTAAATAAGCTATCAACCACAGCAGAATTTCAACAAAAGTGTAAGTTAAAGTGAGAGTTGTCTACAAAGTATATTTTTGTGCCTCTAGTTCATGTACAGGTGTATGTGTATCTGAGAAGGTACTTACTCTCAAGACGCTCCAGAGTTCTGATGATGAGTGACGTGTTGTGATTCAGTTGTACATGTCGAAGTTTCCTCTTTGCACCACAAAAAAATCCCACAGAAAGAGCTGTGGGTGTACCTATACCAAAACCAGCCAATTGCTATTCAAACCTGCCCAATCACGGTGGGAAAAAACGCCCATTAGGCAACACTGAAACGGGGTCAGTGACATTTGGATAATGAGGGCATTTAGCAAGAATATTACTAGGCCTACTCAGGACTTTCCAGTAACAGGGTTCAGAGCACCTACATTACAGACAGTTAATCGCAGATTATTACTACATTTAATGGCTGTCAATTGGTTTAAACATTAAATCATGTTCTCTGCGTTACCGTGGCGTGAATTATCTTGAACCTGCTGAAATGTTCCTATAAATATATTTAGGCTACGGTAGCCTACTTTCCAACTGCATTCTGAATAAATATATTTCTGATATATATATTAAAATATATTTGGAATTGCTTGATATAAAGTCGCAATTGCGTTATAAAGTCAGAATCAGAATTGAATCAGAAGCAGAATTGCAACTGACTTTCTTCCCCTTAGAATTGCGATTTTGTATCTCGCAATTCTGACTTTAACACGCAATTGTGATTTTATATCAGGCAATTCGGACTTTATAACTCGCAATTGCGAGTTTATATCAAGCATTTCTGATAACTCACAATTGCGAGTTTATATGTAAACTCGCAATTGTGAGATAAGAAGGCGCAATTATCTTTTAAATTGTTTTATTCAGTGGCAGAAGCTTCCATACACCTCACCCTATTGTATTTATATATGCAAGTAGACATACAATAATCCATATACGTTTTTATCCGAATGAGCACACTTTTAAAATTTACTTTTGGAACAAAACCCTTCGAAGGCATGGCTCTTGAAGTCCGCGTCCTTCGAAGGATGCAGCCTCTGAATTTCGACACAGCCTTTGTTGTTTAAGCTGCTTGCCCAATACTCAACCAAGTCCCGCCTAAACATATACCTCTAATATTTACTCTGGACCAGAGCTCTAAGATTCCAAAGAAGTTATATGAGTTAAGATGTTATTCAAAATCATATGAACTTATTGATAGGAGCCATTGAGTTACATACTGTATATGAAATTATTACATAATGCCGCTAAGTACACCTGCCGTTACTATTTCCTGTGGGCAACCATTCTAAACTGGAAGTGAGTTGGCAATGGGGGGTGAGAAGGAAGAACACCACATGGGGAAATACCCTCAACGGTCTTGTGATTTGTCGTTCTTCTTTCCAGTAATTATCAAGTTTTTCTCTACTTGTTTCGAGTAGCAAATACTCTGTCCCACATGGAAATGACTATTTCACTGAAAAGCAGTGAGTTATTATGCAAACAAAAAATTGGTATGTAATACTGCTGCTGTTGCCTTTGGCACAGTTGTAATTTTGCAAATGATAAACGATGTCAATGCCTAAACAGAAGGTGCCATCAAGCTTGGGCCATCACAATGGGAGAACCAAGCCAGAGAGATGCAGGGAAGCCTGTTGGTCCTTTTTTCTCTTTTATCTTTAGACAGTCTTCAAAACGTTATCAGCAAACTTAGTTTTTATATTATATCCAATGTTTGTGGCACTACATTTTTCAGACTCTCAGGGAACATCAGAGCTGGCTGATAACTTGACGGTTCCTTCAGACTCCTAAACCCTCCTCAGCAGTTTCCTGGACAGCAGACACAGAAAGTCTCTAAGGGAGTTGAAACAGAGGCACTGTCTAGTTCTTGAGACCTCAAAAGATTCAAATAACTAGGCTACTATGTAATCCTCTTGAGGAAAACTAAAGAACAATCAGTCCAAGTAAAAGTATCCATGAAAAAGATGAAAGCTAGAATTAATAGATAACAGTTACTGAGATCAGATTCTGGCATATTATTTTTTTTATTAAAAATGATGTAATTTACAGGTATAGTGTACCTACCTTTACAACTTCCTGTGGGCAACCAATCCAAAAACGAAGTGAGTTGGCAATGGGGAAGGGGCAGTTTTTTTACCTACATGGAAAAATACCCTGAACTTTGTGATTTTCTTCTTTCCAATATAGTTTCCAATTAATAAGTGAGCCTGTATCACATACAGTGATACAGGCTCGTCGCCTTCATTTGTCAACTGCGCTCATTCCAGTTGTGTATCCTCAATCTGGCAACCAGTGTTAGTTAAGTCTGAGAAGGAGGGGGCGGGAGAAACAACCCTTTCCAATATTTTCAATTTGGACTACAGTGCCTATTTCAACCACTAGCTGTCAATATTACATACTGCACCCTTAAGGCATTGATGACCGTTTAATATAACAAATACATGCAAGAGATGACAAAGTAAAAACAAATATATTTATGCGTGTTTGTTGGGTTCAGAATTATTGCCACCCTTGGTAAACATGATCAAATACGTCGGTGAAAACAAATATACAGTTTATCCATTTGATCTTTCATTTAAAAAAATTCAAATAAAATCTAACCGTTCACTGAACTAAAACAAAAACAGTTAATAGTATATCTGTGAAGTATATTCTTCTTCACATTTACAATTTAGCACACCAGGGTGACTAGGAACATGAAACTATTCGGCCATGAATTCTTGTTTCAAAGGAGCGTACGAGGAAACACAAAGGCCAAATTCCCTTAATCATTCATCCCGATGGGTAAAACCAAAGAATATGGTTCTGATGTGCAGCAAAAGATTGTTGAGCTTCACAAAATAGAAAGTGGCTGTAAGAAAACAGCTAAAGTACACACTCAAGATGGGTTTGGTGCATGACGGGATAAAAAAAGTTCCCCATGTGTACAATTAAATATTCTGCTGGATCTTTAATTTAGCTGGAGGTCCTGGATATCTTGTTCAGATACATGGCATCATGGATTCTATCAAATACCAACAAATAAAAAATCAAAACCTGACAGTCTCTGCCAGAAATCTTATAATGGGCCATTGTTGGATCGTCCACCAGAACAGATCCAAAGCAAACATCAAAATCAACACAAAATGGGTCACTGAGCACAAAATGAAGGACTCTCCTATTTTCTGATCAAATAAAGACACCCTTGGAGAGCATAAGAGACTTCGGTCAAACTTAAGTTTAGGGTCCAATTCTCACTTAACTACGACTTTTGCCTCAATAAACTTGCCTTAATAAACTGATTATTAATAGTTAGTAAGGTAAGTTTAGGTATTGGGTAGGATTGAGGCATGTATGGTCATGCAGAATAAGGCACTATGTGCTTTATAAGTATTAATAAACAGGCAACATCCTTGTAATATTCAAGCTAATAAGCGACTGGTTAATAGTTGTAATTGGACCCTAAACTAAGTGTTAGAGATTTCTTCTTTTTTTTTTTTTAAACCCACAGACATAACAAGCTATACATAGTGTGGCAATAAGCACTTCAAACCTTCACATTAAAAGCATAAAGTAATGTGGAAGCACCTGCTGCTGGTCATGTCAGGTCTAAATAATTTTTTAAAAAGGGGGAAAAAACCAAGGAAGGATTATACTGGCTTTATTAGAATTAAAATAGATATAGTGAAATGTCCTATTCCTATATAGCATGGTAAATTAAAAAACGACACTACCATAAATTTTACCCAAAACATTGAACAGGACCAACTGTATTCACAAGGCCTATTAATGTCTTAAGATAATTAAATAGGAGTATAATCAGTAACAGAATCAGAAAAAAATTACATACAAATCAAACATCCAATCCGCCCAAACATACATAAACGGCTATAAGGGCAGCATACAGGTACATTGAAGGTTCTGTCATAAGTCTTTGGCCCCTCATTCAGATTAGTGAAAGAATTGGCCATGTTGACTCAAGTCCAGAGAGAGGGACGGACAAAACCCATCACCATCCCGAGAGATTGACTCCCATCCATTACAGACTGACAGGACAGCAGTGAGCAAAGCCGCAAAAACAACTGCACTCTGTGCGTCCAGCATATTTGTCCCACATATTAAGGGTGAAGACTGGATTGTACAGGAGGCTCTAATATGTTTGTGTGCATGTGTCGACCTACTTACAATAGAACAAAGACTGCAATAAAAGGCACAGATGGCATTGAAAAAAAAAACTCACTTGCTGCAATTCATTGCTGTGAAGCAGAAAGTTTGTGTAAGTGTGTGGTAAGATCAAACAATCAGGCTCCTGAAAGATGCTGGAAGTGTCCATTCTCTACAGAAGTTTGTTGGCTCGTTGGTTGGCTTCATCAATGCGAGCTTTATTCATATCAGCCTGGGCAACACAATTAATAATATATTTATATATATATATATATATATATATAAAATTAAATATAAAATTATACAATCATATTATGTAATAAAATGATATATATACATTCCTAAAAAAAAATACATCTGTTTTATAATAAATATATATTTCAATAAATAAATACATATATGTATATAAATAAATAATGAACTTATAACTCATTTAGGAGTTTGATAGTGTGGCTTTACCTTATCAGTTATGCGGTCAATGGTCTTGTTCTGTTTTTCGATCTCATTGCCCATGTCCAAGGCCAGATTCTTGAGATTCCCGATGATGCCGCCCACCTGTTCCAGATTCTCCTCCATCTCATCTTCTCGTGCATCATTCGTTACTCTTTTAGGAATGATAACGCATACAGTACATCTTATTATACACAGAATAATACAAAAAGTGACTAATCTAAATTAATAATCAGGAGAATTAATCAGCTGTAAAGATCTTAAAATTAAAAAAAAAAAGACCACATACATGTGGAGCCAAACTGCAGATGCACCAGCCACCCAAAATATATTCGATGCGGCATTGAAGAAAGACATTGTAGCTTATTCTAGGTCAAGCGCTGCCTGCTTTAGACAGGAAGGCAACAAATGACCATTGTTCATTTCTTAGCAACATTTAAGGGTAGGTAAATCTGAAACCGCAATAACACACTAGCATGCAACAAAATGGAAGCTTATTCAAATGATGGCACAACAGTTTAGCTCTACAAAAATAAAGGTAAATTAGGAGAAAATGTGGCTTTAATGTTGGAATTTTTCATCGGACCAAATGTCAAAACGTCTGACTATATTTCAAGGACATAAAGCAGGCATGTGACAAAAAATAAGCAACAACAACAGATTTCTAAACGATTCTCATTACGAATTTGGGAAGATGGTTGGCACAGGTTGTGTTCGCAAATACAAATTATAAGTGATTCAAACTCTCAGCACTTGCAAAGTAGCATTTACTGTGAATTGAAACTGAAAATGAATACCTTTCTTTACTCTCAAACATGTAAAGCGTCAGACTATATATTCATAACCGTTTTGATGATCGCATGAAGCCATATGACATTCTCACAACCATGCATTGTCAAAATTCATAAAAAAGTTATAGGGCAACTGGTGACTAAAGTAACACCGTTTCAATGCCGATTTTTACTCGCACTTGCTGCTTTGAAACATGCTAAGGGTGTCCCGCAGATGGCGCCGCGAGCTTGTGCAGGTCTGTCTGTAACAATCCGTGCATTAAATGTATTAGAAAACATAAAGTTCTTAAGAAACTATAAATCTTTTATACTCTATTAATAAGAAAAACTTATTAATAGAGTACATTGCTGTGGAAAAGCTGTCCACCTCAATCCAAAACAATACACTAGAATTACATATACTGCTTCTGGACCCAAGCTGGCCATGGCATCCCAGTCCCTGTCCTATGCAGTTGGCATTAGTACACATTTATTGGGAGCTTAAACAAGGGGTAAGAAAATAGAAGAAATAATAATAATAGTAATTAATTACAAAATAGTAATTAAATAATAATCATAATAAAATATATTAAATCACATACGCAGGATAAGTGTGGCATGGACGTGGTGGCCTGGGCTTTGCACGGAGCTGGTCCCACGCTGCATGTCTCGCTTTTTTATTGCAACACACTAGCTGACATAAATATACGTCCATCACGAGCAAAAAAAAGAAAAGGAAAAAAAACCCCCAGCCAACAAACAGGGTAAACATGGCATGTGTGTGGCAGCCGGAGGTGGGGAGTGTTCTTGGGGATGGGGGAGGGGCCCTGGGCCCCGCAGCGCCTCTTCTTGGTGGCCCATTGTAGTGTGGCGTGGCTGGGGGTCTAACTTATGCCGTGGCCAAGGAGGGATCAGAGGCAGCCTTTTAATACCATATTAGTAATAGCTTTATTATTGTTATTACTATTATTACTACCATTATTATTATTATTATTTGTCCTCTTCCTTATCCTCCAACCTCCCCCTCATTCCTAATGAAAAGTCTATTATTTTTGTTATTATTATTACTATTCTTACTATTATTGTATTATTATATATGACTATATTATCATATCTTCCTCATCCTCTAGTTATTTTTAGTATTATCATCATCATCATCATTATTATTATTATTGTCATCAATATGTTTCTTTATTTATTATTGATAAAGCCAAACATATGTTCTTGTTTAGTTTCTATTAGCTATGTCTGACACTGGATCAATGTCCATCATTCTCAGTGTATTTTGCCCTCACCTCTTGACGTAGGGGCCAGAGGCGCCTGCTGATCCACCTGAAACAGCCTGCCCATTGCGAACGGCGGGCGGTTGGCTGGATACCACACCGCCCTCTTTTCCCTGCATGCTGGCGTTGTCACTGCCTGTGCCCCAAGTCCGCTTATATCTCCCATCATGCTCAATGGAAGTCACTCTGAAAGAGAGGTTTTAATACTCTCATTTACCCCAGAAAGATGAAAGATGTGATACAACGTAATGCATAACATTTTAAATCCAGTAGCTGGAAGTTGAGTTATAATAGCAAACCTGTCACATGGGCACACACACAGGCCACAGCATTTGGACAGATCAGTCAGGTTCTTCTCAGCCTGCCTCATGTCCTGATTGATCTGATCCATTCCTTGATCAACTCCCTTAAGTTGCTCTGATCAAGACAGAATAAAGATTTCAATCAATAAACAATGTCTTAATTAGTCAGCATCTCCTAAATTAAGTTTTTACAGATTGCGATGGAATGGTGCAGTCACTCACCTCCCTGCTCATCCAGCATGGTCATTGTTTTGACCCCCGTCTCCCGGCTCTGAAAACATACGCATGCTTATATCAGGTCATATATATATAACTCTAATGAGCAAATACAGGTAGTTCTAAGCATTATGTACTTCAGGTAACAGCAAACATGCTTCTGAAGCCTCCAGGTTTCATTGGAGCTCTTACCTCCTCTGCCATCTGTAGCATCCGCCTAGTGCTTTCAAGTGACTGAAAGAAAAAGAAACGCATATTCAAAAGGTAATCGAATCACTACTGTAATAAGAAAACAGCAGATATTCTATATTTCAGGTCTGCATGCAAACATCAAATAAAACAAAGCACAATTAATAAATGTAAAATTAACACTTTCCACTAAGTCTTTGGCTCATAAAGCCACAATGTGTAGACCTTTATGAGTTGATTTTAATTCGAACACACTGATAAATTCAGAAATGTGTATGAAGAAACGTGAAAATCATAGATAATGCTATGAAGCCATGCAAAGAACACAATACATACACAGGAACACAATAGAGAGGTATAAATAAAACATTTGCAGCTTGGCTATTAAAAAAGATAATTATCTTCACTTTTTTTTTTATAGATATTTACTAACATTATACACTGATGAGCCAAAACATTATTACCAGTCACAGCCAGGTGAAACAAATTGTTGATCATCTCCTAACAAGGCCACATATTATTAAGATCTGGGTAGATTAGATGGCGAGCAATCAATAAGTTCTCATAATCAACATGTTGGATCCCAGGAGAAATGGGCAGGAATAAAGATCTGACTGACTTTGACAATGACCATATTATTATGGCAAGGCGACAGGTTCAGAGCATCTCTGAAATGGCAAGGCTTGTGGGTTCCTCCTGGTCAGCAGTGGTGAGAATTTACCAACAGTGTCCAAGTAGGGACAAACCATAATCCAGCGACAGGGTGTTGGCCACCCAAGGCTCATCAATGTACAGGTTAATGAAGGCTATCCCGTCTTTTCCGAGTCAACAGAAGGTCTACTGTGGCACAAGTCAGTCACACAACATTTTTGAAAATGATTATGGGCGAAATACGTCACAACACACAGTGCATAATATTCTGCTGTGTATGGGGCTGCATAGTCACAGACCAATCAGAGTGCCTATGATGACCCCTGTCCATCATTGAAAGTGCTTACAATGGGAACGCAAGCGTCGGAACTGGACCTTGGAGCAGTGGAAGGTGGTCCCCTGGTCTGTTGAATCCCGTTTTCTTTTACACAAGTGGACGGCCGTGGACTTGTGAGCCGTTTACCTGGGGAAGTGATGCACTGTGGGACAACGACAACCCGCTGGAGGGAGTGTGATCCTTTGTGCAATGTTCTGCTCGGAAACCCTGAGTCTGCCCATTCATGAGGATGTAAATTTGACACGTGCCACCTACCTAAACAGACCAGGTACACCCTTTCATGACAACGGTGTTCTCTGTGGCATCTTTCAGCAGGAGAATGCACCCTGCCACACTGCACACATTTTTCAGGAATGGTTTGAGGAACGTGGTGAAGAGTTCAAGGTGTTGCCCTGGCCTCCAAACTCCCCAGATCTCAGGCCAATTGAGCATCTGTGGGATGTGCTGGACCAACAAGTTCAATCCATCTCCACCTCACAACCTACAGGACTTGAAGGATCTGCTGCTAACGTCTTGGTGCCAGATACCACCTTCAGGGGTCTTATAAAAGTCCATGCCTCGGTGGGTCGGCACTGTTTTGGCAGCACGCAGAGGACCAATAGCATATAGGCAGGTTATCATAATGTTTTGGCTCATCTGTGTATTTATCAATATTTATGCATTTGCTTTAAACCTATTTAAAAGTGTGATTTTTTCCCCAACAAAATAGCCATAAGTGTATGTTTAATACTAGAACTAAAACAGTAAAAAAAAAAAATGTTTATCTATTGATATGTATACTTACATAAACAATATTTTAATAATCATTTATTATTAATAATATTTCAATAAATTCTCTCTCTCACACACAAAATATAGCAATATATAACTCATATTTAGAAATAGTATTAGTAAATATTCAATATATCACCCTAAATTCAGCCATCATTAATCTACTTCTGACCTGGGAAATTACATTCTGAGGGTACTTAAACACTAATGGTAAAATCACAGTTAAACAAACAAACAAACAAACAAACTGATGTTAGAATAGAAAGGTGGGTGGGGAATGTTTCATGGATTTGTAGTTTACCCCCAGTCACCCATGCTGAGCATGAGCACAGAGGCCGCTTCATGCTATTAGTCTTTATTACAGCACACAGGCTCATGTGAGTCCCTTCAGAGGCAGCAAGAAGGAGAAAGAGAGAAGGAAACAAAGTTGTGGGTAAAGAAAGAAGTGCGTTATAGTTATCGAAGATTTAGTAGCACAGAGAGTCACTTATTTGCAAATTCTATTAAAAGACATTAAGATTTTTTTTTTTACAACTGTTAGTGCAAGAAATATATTGTAAGGTTGCAAAATAGAGCAGTATAACAGTGAGTAAAAGAAAACTGTTTGCGGTCACAAACAATGAGTCTGTATGTATACAGGAACTTGAAAACATTGCATCAATAACAAAGAAATTAATTCCTTTCATCCTGTTACAGTATATCGCTACCGTAACAGATGATCAGCATACCTCATCTGTAACTTGGTTGGCTCTCATCGTGATGTCCTCCACTGACATGTCTGCCATCTTGCTGGTGTCCAAGTTTGCTGCCCCTCCTGTGGCCTTAAGCTCTACGCTCTGGGGTCTGAAGGTCAGAAACGAGAGGTCAAGGTTCAGAGGCCATTTTCATACACACACAAACAAAGATGCCCCCCAAAAAAGCTTTCCCATGGAAATCTACCACCTGGAATTTGAATTTGAAGGAATTCTATCATCAGAATTCAGCCTCATGTTGCTCAAATCAAATGATTTTTTTTTTTTTTTTACTTCACAAAGTACTATACAAAGTCTCTGAAAGTCTTACTAATCAAAATGTAAGTTTTAACTTTTGTATTACATAGAATTAGGCAACATGAGGCGGAGTAGATGACAAAATATTGGGTGAAAAGTTCAAATATCTATAATGAAAATAAAGAAAAGCATGAAAGTGATTAACAATGTTGTGTGTTGTCAAATGTTTTAAAATGAACAGTAAAGTTTATAAAATATTATTTTAAAAAGGTTACAATTCAGAGAACACCAAGAGGACACAAACAGTACAGACACAACACATTTTTTTCAATGCCCATTACACGCCTTAATGTTAAAAGTGAAAATGCGTATAATGTCTGTGCTGTTGAAAACACTGTTAACAATGGTGTGAGATGGGTGTGAGAGAGATACAAGATAAGTGTGATGTTTTTCTATGAAGATTTTATGACCAATGTGGTCAACATAAGACATACACCATTTTGGGGTGTGTTTTATTGCTAAGAACCCTGAAGCTTAAACAAAAGAGCAGAAATACACATAAAACATTAATGAATAAACAGATACTGAGGTCAATTATCGACTAGCGTAAAACTGTCACAGCTCACAGTAAAAATCTCACATGCACTGTAGTAAAACTAAACTGCAGTAAAAAGATGAAAAAAGTGCTTATAAGTGTTTATGGTATGACAGAGTGTGTAATAGGCCTGTCTCTGTACACAGGAAACAGATTTCTTATGTCTTTTCCTTCGTTTCTGCAGCTTCCTGATTCAAATGCCAGCAAGGTAGAGGAAAAATCCACAAGAACTAACTTTAAAGAAAAGTTCACACTATATATCAATAGGGCTATATCATCTAACCCTAGATCCAGCCATCACAAATCCACTTCTGATCTGGGAAATTACATTCTGAACATGTTCACTAACAGGTAACACAAAAAGAGACAGAATTAAAGCCTCAGTCACCATTCACTTTTGTTATAGCTACATAAAAAAAGACACAATGAAATGAAAGTTGAGACAGTGACTGAGGCAAATTCTGCTTAACATCTCCTTTTGTGAAAGTCATTCAGGTTTGGAACAACACAAGGTGAATACATGTTTAAAAGTATTCTAATTTTCTCTGTTATAGGGACAGTTTACCCAAAAAATGAAAATTGTCATAATATACTCACCCTCATGTTGTTCCTATGAGGTTCTTTCTTCTGTTGAACACAAAATATATTTTTAAGAATGTATGTAACCAAACAGTTGACGGGCCCATTGACTTCCATTGTATTTTTTTCCCCATACTATGGAATTCAATGGGGTTCATCCATTGTTTAATTACCATATTGTCCAAAATATCTTATTTTGTGTTCAGATGAAGAAAAAAACTTAAACAGGGTTGGAACAACTTGAAGGTGAGTAAGTGACAGAATTTTAAATTTTGATAGTTAAACTATCCCTTTAACTTGCTTATCCAAGGTTCTTTTCAAAACGGTTAAACAAGTGTTTTTAAGCTAACATGACCAAGAACGTCATATTACTCACTCTCCTCCATTAAACAGTCCAGCCATGAGAAACACCTCCTTAAGAATTGTACATTTCCAGTTTGTCAACAAAAACCGGTTTCTCGAGGGAATGTCATTACATCATGTCTCTTAACATTACACTATTTCCACTGTATTCTGTATCAGATACACTAATCATCATCTGGACTTGCATTATGATCAAATTGGGACCAAACTACAACATGCCTCATATGATGCTTGGGATCTGACAAATCCTCTACTTACGTTACATCAACATTCAGGAAACCATAAACAGAAACCATTCAAGAGAATCTGATCTAATCAGAGAGTATAAACACATAACAGTGATGTTTAATGCTGCTGATTCCAAGATGTACCTTTTACACCCAACTCCAGAAGGACAGAGCACAATTTTGCCAGGTAACGTTAAATAATTGACCGCGTTAATAAAGTTAGTACGTTACGTTAACGTTACTTTGAAAGTGGAGAAAGTCCTTGTGATCTTCCCAATGATCCAGGATCCCAACACCACTATTTACGGTCAAGGTTTATACTTACTGTTTACTCATGATGTTTCACGATGTTCTTTATTGCTAACTTACTGGTAAAGTGTGTTTGTTTATTTAAGGCAGTAAGTTAAGTTGCTAGTTGGTCAGTTGGTCTCGTACTCAGTTCCGCTTTGGGGAAGTAGAAACGCTTTACCATCCTCCTTTTTTAAAAATACTGGACGGAACCTGGAGCAAAACGTTTCACTCGCTACTTACTGAGGTTGATTCCAGGGCAGGAGAAGGATAAGACTGAGGATCGATCGGTCTAAGTGTTTAGAAAGTGTTTATTTCCCGTGCTGGTCCAAACTCTTTCCGAAATTCCTTCAGACAGATTATGACAGTGGTGCGCATGTGCAGTCATATGACAGGTGACTTAGTGCGCATGCGTCAAAGAGAAGCGAGTATAAATAGAAAAGATAATTATTAATAACAACAGAAAAGATGCTGAGTGGGGTGAAGCGTTTCATAGAGGTAGTTAATATTCTGAAAGATCATGTAATAAATAGAAAAAAAATTTTTTGCCAAATTGATACGATTATTATTATTATTATTTAGTTTATGTGCAATACAAATTTGTTCCTGAAAGAAAGGTGGCTACTTTCGGTACACCACTAGAGTGTATTTTTTAATAAACACTGAAAAAGATGACCACTCACTGTAGCACGTTTTAGTACATTATTTAATCTTAAAGTGTCTCGCTGTTCCTATAGTTTCTTATACAATATTTGAATAGACTCAGGCAGTCATCCATTTAGTATTGGAACAAAAATGTTTCTCTTGGTCAAATGTGACGTTTTTGAGTAACAGAGTTGCTTAGTGGAATTACAGTACAGTGCGTGTTGATATCACCGTGATGATGACGTGTAAATCCCGGAAGTGCCTTTTGTAAACTTGCAGCCAGGTCAGCTGTACCAACTTTAGAGCAGTCTAATCTCATCGAGAATGCCTTTCAGACGGGATAATATTTCCTTCTAAAAAGTGGAGTCTTCCTTTATGCGGTAAAATCATACGAGTATGCTGTCGAATACTATTTTGCTTGCGCTACTACAGTGGTTCCGAATAGGCATGTTGTACACGACTAACGCCACACCTTGACTCGTTCGCATATTATTTACATGTTACGTGTTCTGTTATTATAAAACAGGATTAGAAGCGCTTGCTAATGCGCGTGATAACACGGTTTAATATCACCGGACAATGTTTATATTATGTTTCTTTACCAGTGTGAAATATTTTGTCGCCTGTTCAACATTCTACTGTTAGTAATCGCGGATTAGTTGTTCTTTGACCTGAAACCACTTAACTTTTCAGGCTCTTTTGCTCATGTCTTTTACTTTATTCTGTAGATAATTTGGATGACACAATGGAGGAAAAGAATAAGAAACGTAAAAGCCCAAAACCGTCTTCCAACCAGCCGCCTCCCCCAGTGACTGCTCGAAAAACAACATCCAGTAGATCGTTTGGTGTTGGTGGTATGGTCACGCACAGTCAGAGGTCAAAGTATCGCAGGTGAGCATCATCTGTCATCATTTAAACTGTGTAAGGTATTAAAATTTTCACATTTATATCGTCATATTTTGCCATGATCTTTTATTCATTTTGTTTTGGGGTGTTAGGGGAGTGAGAGACAAACCAAGGCCTCAGAGTCAGTCGGGTAAGAGCAGCCAGTCGGGCCACATCCAGCACTCGTTTCTCACAGACGTGTCTGATGTTCAGGAGATGGAGAAGGGTCTGCTCAGCCTTCTCAATGACTTCCACTCTGGAAAATTGCAAGCCTTTGGTAAGCTCTTACAGTACAGTAAAAAATAAATTATCGAGTGTTTACAGTTTTGATTGAAGTCTAAATCTTCTCTGAATCAGGCAACGAGTGCTCAATCGATCAGATGGAGCATGTGCGGGAAATGCAGGAAACACTGGCTCGCCTGCACTTTGACCTTTATGGAGAAGTGGATGAGCTGCCGGAAGACCAGAGGAAGTCTGCTTATGACACTAACATGGATAAACTGTTATCAAATGTAAGCAACATCAGATATTTGGTCCCATTTTATGTTGAGTGTCTTTAACTATACTATGTACTAACATTTAAATTAATAATATGATACAATGCACTTGTACTTACATTGTACTTGTATTTAAAGAATACATGCATGCAACCAACATTGAACTGACCCGAGCTGAATAATGAGGTGGTTTACAGCAGAATTGAACTCATTTCATAATTGATTTACACAGTTATTAAACTAAACTAAATCTCGAGCTGATAAATGACACTATTGTTTTCTATAGAGGTGCTTAAAAGCAGAATTTAAATTCGTCTCATCTTTGATGAAGTTTGCATCATTGAATGCTTTGAAACAATCTGTATTGCATAAATAAAGCACTAGATAAATAAAGGTGACTTGATTTGACCTTTAGCCACCCTTAAAACTAACTGTACCCTGAAACCTGTCCCTAACCTTACCTGTAACCCACCTCAATGAGCCAAACTAGTACATTGTATAAAATTTTTTTTTATGTAAGTACATAGTGGTTAAAGACACCTAATATAAAGTGTGACCAAATATTTAGTCAAAAACCAGAAATCTATGAGTTCTTTCATGCATTTGTCTAGTAAGTCTAATGAAGTTCATTCTTTTTTTCCCCCCTTCAGCTGGAAGAGTTGAGCTCCTCAATGTATCCTTTCATGGTTTCGCCAATTACCCGATGAATCAACTGGATGATATTGTAGTGTTTAGTTAAAGGGATATCTCACCCAAAAATTCTTTCATCACTCACCCTCAAGTTGTTCCAAACCTGTATGAGTTTTTTTTTCTTCTTTTGCTGAACACAAAATAAAATATTTGTAAGAATTTGGCTAACCAAACGGTTGTGGGGCACCATTGACTTCCATAGTATGAAAAATACAATTCTGTGAAAGTCAATGGTGCCCCACAACTGTTTGGTTACAAACATTCTCCAAAATTTCTTCCTTTATGTTCAGCAAAAGAAAGGAACTCGTAGAGTTTTGGAACAACTTGAGGGTGAGTAAATGATGACAGAATTTTCATTTTTGGGTGAATATCCCTTTAAGATTGATCAGGTAACTTTATTATGTAACCTTGAAATTCGTCTGCATAAGCATTGTGTAGTACAGCAGCAACATGTTACATCCTTAAAATCAAATTCTTTTAAAGGTTTTTCTAACACAAGTCATTTCTTTTAACTGAGTTTGAAATCTTAACTATAATTCCTTAGACAAAAGCTTAACATTGCTGACAGTCAAGATGTCCCCAGAACTTCCAGCATATGAACTACAAAGGCTCTACCATGCAGAATACTGTGTGTATATTTAGCACAACACAGCTATGGGGAAACACCAGTATTACAGTCATATCGGTGACACTGTGGTCTTAAACGTGTAGAATTGGTCAGCTTGGGTTGTTTACACTCTATAGATGTGATATCACAGAACAAATCCAAACATTTGTGATGAACTGCCCACTTGTCTTTCTCACCGGATCATTTCACATGGTACCACAAGAAATATATGTGCATAAGATGATGTTCGATTACATTATGGCATCTAATCTTATGTCTTAAATGTTGCCTTGTAGTTGTACAATAGCAGCACCTTTGCATTATCACTAATTCACTTTTAACAAGGAACTGATTGGCTCAGTTTGTATTTATTTATGCCCTGTCTTAAAGTGATTAATAGAAAGATAATGGCAGGTTATTTTTCATGTCAGTTGATGTCAGTTTCCTGAGACTACTAAGACTGCAGAATAAAATTAAAATTGCATTGTATATTTTTGGTTATAGACTATATAGTTCTATTTACATATTTTATTTTGATTTAAAACATTGGAAATGTAAATTGTAACCTACTGGCTGATTGTTGATTAAACTTTTTATTCATGCTTCTATCAATAAAGTTCAAGTTTTAATGTCAAGTTTTATGACCCACATATGAATTACGTAGATAAACAATATGTTTATGTAAAAATAAACATATATGTTTAAATAACTGTCTGCGACCGTGAATCCAGGAGCTGCTGAAAGAAACACGATTCGTGTGAAGGAATTTCAGAGAGCTTCATTTGTTATGTGGTCTCCAGGGAAACGTGCTGGGAAAGGCGCTGGTTCCTGGATGTTCACTAGAGGTTTGTTTAGAATCTCCAATCGATATAATAAGCAGATACTCTGGCAGAATTTATAATAATTAGCGCATTTGCAAATAAAACAAATACGTCTCCGACTCTCCGTCTGCTATTTTATTTAAACCGGGAAGTGATAGTTTTGGACTATTTTAATTACTTTAACTGTTAGAATGACGTCTGTGGAATTTAGAACCTATTATAAGTAAAAAAAAAAAAAAACGCGGGAATTCTGATTTTATGAATCACTGGCAGATGAATGGAAGTGACTACAGACAGCCGCAGTCCGACGGCACAGAGACCAGATTCAGTTCATGGACGCCTGTAACAAATAAAGCATGTAACCAACAGGTCGGGGGAAAAAACTTATGGTAACACTTTACTTTAAGTGTCATTGTTAAATATGTTACATGTATTTACTATAGTAAAAAGTATAAATTATGCTTAATTACATGCAACTGACCCCAAACCCTAATCCCAACCAAAACATGTAGTTACTTAATATTACTCAGTAGGCTACTTGAATGTATAGTGTAACAAAGACACCTTAAAATAAAGTGTAACCAAAATTATTTATTTTCTATTATAATTATATATATTTTTTTACTTTTAAATTATTTATTTTAAGATTAACAACATTTAATCTAACTAAATAAATGTGCAGCTTTTTCAGGAAAGAACAACTCTCATCCTCCATTGGTTTGACCTGTGGACAGACCGTCAAAGAAAAGAATTTATTTGTCGGCTGCTGAGGAGATGCTCCAAAACTCAGCTCAAGTAAATTCTCAGTGCATAATATCTGATATCTCACCACACACAGGAATTCCACTTTCTCATACAAATTACAATGACTTTCTTATGATTTTAGGTTCACCAGTGATTGTTTGGCAGAATCAGTCCCCATCACTCGAATGGACTTCACGGCAGTGCTGCCTCGCTTTCTGTCTCTCTACATCATGTCCTTCCTCAGTCCTCGAGACGTCTGCGCCGCAGCACAGGTGTGCTGGCACTGGAGATTCCTGGCAGAGCAGGTAATGTGCATTTCATTTAGATACCGAGCTTCTATCACATTTCTCTCAGTCTCTTCACTCAAACATTGTTACTGAAAATCTTCTGAAATTCAATTTCAGAATGCTGCCAGAAATGTCAAAGACATGTTTACTCACTCACACTGCAATCTCTGTGTGATTCTAGGACTGTCTGTGGTCTCCGAAGTGCATCCGTCTGGGATGGTTTCTTCCCTACAGCCCATCAGATCATGAGTACGGAGCGTGGAAAAGACATTATGTGGCCTGCACTGCCAGTTTAGACATTCTGACTGCACGGGAAGCAGAAGATGTCTATGGTACCTTGAATGAGAGTTTGACAGCACCAGAGGAGCAAGAGGATAGATGGAGAGAGCACAAGATAAGACAAACTATCAGAGAGAAGATAGCAGAGCATAAAAGTAAGTACCAGGGATTCCAGCATTGCTTGTAAATGCCCTCATGAAATTATCTGATTGAGGTTAAAGAGTTTTATGTAATGTAAATGATCTGAGGCTAATAATGTCATTTGGCAGATGTCCTGGTCCTCATATTCCCTTCTGCTTTCTCCACAGAGGCTGCATTGAAGACCAGGAGAGCATGGTTAAACACGAGTAAATTGGGCACATCATCTATACATAAGCCACTGAGTCTCACTGCTGCTCTTGTTCAGCTTGGGGTGAGACACTGATATAATTATAGCTAAAAAGATTTTATCAACAAGCATGTCATCTAAATAATAATAAAATAAATATTTAATTGGTATATATATATATATATATATATATATATATACTGTATATACACATGCACAAATACGTGGTTTAAAGTGCTAAAACTAAATGACCAAAAAAATTTAATCACTGATCATTTTGATCATGATTATGTTAATTTTATCTTCATCTTAGATACGTTTATGTAACACAATATTAGTCTTGTATTACATACACAGAAAATATACACAATAGGGTAATTTTTCTCTTTTTTTCATAGGAAAAGTGTCGATTGGAAAATTCACTCTCTAGTGTGGAAATAAGAGAACCGTGGCTTGATTTGAGGATGAATAATACTCTTGAGAGCACATGTGCCACCAGTGTAGTGAAAACTATGAGGTCAGTTATAGGATTTAATAGATGGAAATCTCTGCATTATTTTTTTTATATTTAGTACCTTTTTTATATGTCAAACAACAATAATGGAAACCTATTCCTGAAAATGCTGTTACCTTACAGTTCACTGTTCTGCAAACCAGTCAAGTCTTCCTACCGTCCTCTTCCTCATTTCCTGCTTGTGTCATCCAAAGTCCCTGGATATGAAGTAAGACATTCAGTTACATCTCTGAATGTTAGACAGTTGTTTATGAACTGAAGGATCTCAACTTCATTTTTCTAGCTGCTTCTGGCCGCGGCGCATGTGTCTGTGGTGGTTTTGCCGTATGACTCACAAGGAATGACCTTGGAGGCTTTGCTCTCTCTGGCGGAAAGGACGATCCAAGGCAGGATGATGCAAAGTCTCGGCATTCTGGTGGCAGGAAGCACAGAGGAGTTGACTCTCACAGATGGTAATTTCCCTGATTAATTCAACATAATTTCATTAACATGGAATATTTCACTGCTGGAATAGATTTTCTGGAACATTCTCTAACTTTATGGCGGCAGGTTTTTTTTTTAATAACCTTAAAAAAAAGAGCTACTGTCAAATTCATGGCAAATATTTCAATTGCTCCAATGAACTGTAAAGATAAAAAATGTAGCTGTAAATGATGAACAAGTTATCACAAGTCAAGTCAAGACACCTTTATTTATATAGTGCTTTTTACAATACAGATTGTTTCAAAGCAGCTTTAAAGAGAAAACAGGAAAATAATGCAACAAAGTTTGTTTCTAGAAGAAAATAAGCATCACAGTCCAGCTTAAGTAAGTTCAGTGATGGTTCATTTTTGTTTTAAAAAAGGTGTTCGAACTTCATTTATATATATAGCCGCTCTAGAGAAAACCGTGATGTCATCGTCCAGCTCAGTTCAGTTCTCATAAAATGGTGTCAATGCAGGCAGATCAATAATATTGCTGAATATTAAATTAAATGTCCCCAACTAAGCAAGCCAAAGGCGAAAAAAGGTGACAAAACATAACATGTTATAACAACATTATGTTTTGTCATAACACAACAAAACACCCTGCATAACATAACATTATATATATTGTGTTTTATCCCCAGGACTGAGCATTACTGAGAAGACAGTGCTGAAGCCGTGTGTGAGGGAGTTCTGGGAGAAACTGTGTGGCTGGGTGGTTCCTGCTTCAGACGGAGGGAGTCTGGACATCTTTGTTCCCCTGGGAGCTTCTGGTAAAGTTTGTCTGTTTTGTCCCAGTTCAGTACTGGCTTGACACAGGTTGTAGCCATTGAGATGCCATTCCATGTGACATTTACTGTATATGTTTTATTCAGATGTTGTTCTGTATTGATCGTTCAGTTGCAGGGATGGATCTGATGAGGAAGTTGTCTGTTTTGACTGGTCTGAATGTCAGAGCTCCCACAGGAATCTGCACGGGCTCCTACCAGCACAGTGAGTTTCAGATATGTCGGTTAATTTGTGATCTACTGTATTATACTTTCAGTCGAAAGTTTGGACACATTATTATTGCCACATTTTAGAATAGCACAGTCATAAAACCTATGAAATAACAAATGGAAGTAAAATAATGTTGTGAGTCTGTGACCAATCATTTTTAAATCAAGACTAAGACCTTTAGAAATTAAAGCTCTGCAAGCTCTGTCCATTCAACCAACTTCATAAGGTGCATCCTGGGATACTTTTTAATAATTTTTTTGTAATGCTCCCTGGTATAATGTTAGTTTTCATTCCTTATTCAGCCCAACTGAATTACATCATATTAATGTTAATTAATCTTAAAATCATGTTTCATTAAATAATAAATTACAACTATTATAACAAAAAAATAATAACAAAATTTTATTTCATTTTAGTTTTTTTTTTAAGATTATGAAATATATCAATTATTATTTTAAAATATATATTTAATTATAGCATTGTTTATTATTTAGCATTAATTATAGAATTATTCTATATATTATATTTATACAATATATATTATAAAATAATATACATGTTAATAATACTACTACTACTACTACTACTAATAATAATAATAATAATTATATTATTTTATTAATTTTTTTAAATTACTTGTTTGATTTTACTTTAAAAAAAAAGATTCTGAGAAACATGAATTCAGTCAAGTATTATCTTAGTGTTTTAAAGAAGCGGTCTCTATATTTCTGTTAGTTCTCAGTGAGTGGTCCGGGTCTGGTGAGTTTCCTCCATTGGTGTATCTGCATGAGACCCTCCTCCTGAGCTGGTGCAGACAGGCTGAATGGATAGAAGAAGCCTGTAAGGAACTACGGAAACAGCTGGGGCCACAGCTGGACTTTATATGTCAAGAGATCAGAGGCCGCATCCTGGGTAAGTCAAAAAATTAAAACAAAGCCTAAAACACAGTTACGTCATTTACTTCCTGTGTGTGTATTCAAACCGTTTTCTTTGTTTGCGTGGCTATTACAGGTCTATTCCTCTGGGATCATATAAAGATGCCTGTCATTTCCCTTAAATCCGAGGTCATGCAGTGTTTGGTTCGTGGGCTCGTGGCTCTGATGAACGAGACTCCAGTAAGCAAAAAAACAACAACATTCTGTTCAGTAAATATCAGTTTATCGCTGCATTATATTGAATTCACTGATTTAC